AGATCGTCATGTCCTTCTTCCTAGTCTGTCTTAGTCTGGAAGCTCCTCTGCTGGTATTTGAAATATTGGTGGCATAGCTTCCAGCATCACAACACAGAAACCAGTAAAGTACAACAAACTGACAGACACGTGATGACTTGCAACAATAAATCTGTTATAAATTCTTAAATGTTTAATAAAAATGAAAATTAAGTCAACCACCAACAAGCAGGGGTGGGGGTGGGAGGAGAGAACATGAAATTTTAGGGTAGAGGCCTATGGGGGAGGGGAAGAACATATAATGACTTCTAAAGTTTCAGCTTAGTATGTTTTTGTTTCATCCTTAAGTTGTATCTTCAATCTTCAGAGTAAGAAACTCATCAACACTTATTGACAAATGTGAACTTCTCTATCTTTAAACTGTCAACGTTAATTTATATTTCTGCCATGCGTCATTGGTGATTTACAAACTTCTTTTTTAGCCTAAAGACACTGTCTTCAAAGGAGCACTTATCAGTAAACAAGTCCGTAAAAGCATATTAAGGTGGACAACTGGTAAACCTCGACTGGTTCCAGACCCTCTCCAAGTAGGCAAAACAATTTTCCATTAATTCATACATTCATTCTACAAATATTTACTATTGAACACCTACCACATGCCAGACATGGGGATGCAGCTGGAAATAGGACAGATAAGACCCCTGACTTGATGAAGCTTCAAGCTTAGAATATAGTTTTAAAAATTACTGCTTTAAAAGACAGGCCCTGGGCAAAAGGCGAAAAGGAGATGTTTTCCTCCGTACCTTCATTTATGACATTTTTCACCTCATACGGCCAATAACTTTTAAGACAATAATAGAAATATCTTGTGACAAAAACAGAATGGTGCAAGAATCATCCTTAAAATCATATCTAATCCCTAGAAAACAAGTCAATAATTACCTGGAGATGAAGCACAAACTTTAAAATTATAAGCATTCAACAATAAAGGATACATTAAAAGTTACCCTAAATCTGCCTCAGCAGTGGCTTACATTACAAACTAAAGTTTAGCAAAACAATCTTATAAATGACCACTTTAAAAACATGTTTAATTTGGCAATAAAAGTGGCATCTGAAAGTAATAATCACATTAAATTAAAACTCAAAAAAGCCCATTATTATAGCCTAGTTAGACAAGACAGTAATAGGGATACGAAGTATAAGAAATTCAAAAGAATTCCTGTTATTCTTCTGTATTTCTCAAAACTAAAGAAAGTCTTTCCGAAAACTTTTCCAAAGGTTTCAACAGATCCTGAAGGAAAGAGCAGGATTCCGGAGCCAGAATTCCTGGATTCAAATCTCAGTTCTGTCATTTACTAACACTGGGTTGACCTCAGACAAGTTACAGAATTGTGTTTTACCTCAGTTTCTTCATTTGTAAAATGGGATTAATAGAAATATTCTACCCATAGGACTAATAAGGGTTAAATGAGTTAGTTAACTCATGTAAAATGCTTTCAATAGTGTCTGAAAAGAGTAAGCCCTCAATAAACATAAACTGTAATCAAATACTATACTATCCATGTAGTGACTGATCCAGTAGCAATGAATGCCACAATATATAAGCATTCTCTTATGAATGTAATTTCCTAATGTCCAATACAGCTCTAATTCAACAATTTGAGCAAACATACACAAAATGTTAAAATATTCTCTGAAGCAGAGATGGAATACGTCACAATTTCAACCATAACAATCTAGGTATGTAAAATCCAAACAAGGAATTCAAGAAATAGCCATCACTACCAAGTATTCAAAGTTTTGAACTGTGCAGTTTCAAACCACTGCCTTCTGGTGGCCACTGAAAACCAACTTTAAGAAAAAATGCAAAATGTGACATTACTGATATGTATTAAGAAGAGTGCTGTAAGTGTCTTCTATCCTTTTCATTACTTGCTATTATTAAACTAGGACCATGTGGTATTACAATGAACTCTGCTATAAGCCACTGATTTATATACATTGTCTAATCTCTAATATTAAGTTACTGTCAAAGTAAACAAATGCTGCCACCTTGTGGACTGATGACTATGGTATTATAGAACCAAAATGATCAATAAACAAAGGAAGAAAAATTATAAAAGCAGAGTGGTTGGGCTTTGTCTCTCAGTGAGATGCTCAATATATTAGTGACCAACATTAGATATATTTCATGAAATTTTACAGTAAGAATAACTATAACTATTTCTTCAATGATGTAGTGAAATAATGCACTAAATTCAACATTACCTACCATTTCTTTATCCCTTTCCCAAAAGAAATTCTTCATTAAATTTCCTACTTTGAGAGAAATTAAAAATCTTCAAAATGAATTTATTATCAATAATATATTTGAATATGAAACTACCAGGGCTGTGAAAGTTTCCAAACCCCTTCATTTCTTTGGCTACTATCTTCCTTTGTTACTACTTATTGGTCTTCATCTGTCTTGCCCAACAAACTTCGGAAATTGGAAATTTGTCTTTTGGAAGTATTAATTCAATGTAATTAAAAAGAATGGATGTTGGCATGCAAGATGGACTAACTAAAGGTGTCTTTTAATTTTTTAATTGAAATATTTTAAATGAACTAACCTCACCTTTAACAATACTACAACTTAGTTTAGGTCTTCCTATGGGAGTTAATTTCTTCCTCAGATTGCAGAATATGCTGATACAAATGTCTTGGTATGCTCAAGGTTTAATAAACCAACTGCCGTCAAGTCAATTTTGATTCACAGCGACCCTATAGGACAGAGTAGAACTCCCATACGGTTTCCAAGACTGTAAATCTTTACAGAAGTAGACTGCCATCTTTCTCCCATGGAGCAGCTGGTGGGTTCCAACTGCCAACCTTTCAGTTAGCAGCTGAGTGCTTAACCACTGCAACACCAGGGCCCCTTCAAGGTTTAATAGATATTTAAAAAAAAAATTCAGCTTTCAAGAATAAGGAAAAAGACTAGTTCTTACTTTTTTTTTTGAGACTAGAGATTTATAACCAATCGCACATTTACTAACTAAAAATGCTGCCTTTGTAATATTTTCAGAAGGAATTTTTTACTTTGGTTTTTTATTTATGCTGTTAATGGAGAAGAAAACAGAGTACAGGATGAACTCACAATGGCCAGGAAAATTAACTGACATTACAGGAGAGCTCTAAACTGGACTATATTTTAGCTTGGGTAAATTCATATCATTATAGGTACGTGTATACATATCTTGTCAATATTACAAATAAACTTCCACAGTTATTTTTGCCATTTTACAGTCAGGTTACATTTTTGAAGCCTTTAAAAATATGTTAAGTTCTTACAGTAGTTAAGAACTTAGATAATACTATTAGTCTATTGATTCAAACTAAATTGTTTCATAAACTATTCTTAAATTTTTTCTATAAAGGCAATGAATTAAGATTGTGAGCTTTCCTGAATCCAAGCACCATATCTGGCCTGTTCATAATTACACGCTTAGCCAGCTCACATTAGGTGTTCAATGAATTTCTGTTAAATGAATTAATTACAAAGCTAAACAAGTATTTTCAAATTTTATTCAATCCAGTGCATAAGAAATACTCACACTGCCAATATATAGAAAAATAAATGAACATAATTTTTGTCTTATTCATTAGTGAGTTAGAACAAGCTAGAATATAACAAAAGGTTTATTGTAATAGCAAGTAAATCAATTAATAAATAAAAATCTTAAGTCATGAAAATGAAAAGCATGCAAAATTTTAGCAATACTAGATGAGTTAAAGCTTGCCAAATTCCCGATCTACTTCAAAATTATCCTTTTAAGGTTTGTTTATGCTAGGAAATTTGAACATGGACTGGCAATTTGATGACACTAAAAGATTTCTATTAATTTTCATTTAGAATATTTTAAAAGAATGATCATCAATATGACAGTGAAGATAAAAATAATTTTAAATTATAAATCAGTAACAGAAAAATAACTACAAAATCCCAATATGTGAAAACTAATAATACATGTCTGTATAACCCATGAGTCAAAGAAGAAATCAAAATGGAAATTACAAAGTATTCTGAACTAAATGAAAATGAAAATATACGATATCAAAATTTGTGGGATACAGCTAACACAGTTCTTAGAGGGAAATCTATAGCACAAAAATGTCTATATTAGCAAAGAAAAAAGGTATCAAGTCAATAACCTCACAGTGTCCACCTAAATAAAACAGAAAAAAAAAGGAGCAAATTAAATTCAAAGACAGCAAAAAATAATAAGGAAATAATAAAGCTAAAGAAGAAATCAATGAAATAGAAAAATAGAGAAAATGAAATCAAAAGCTGGATCTCTGAGAAGAACAATAAAATTCTAACCAATTATTCAGGGGGGAAAAAAGGGAGAAAAAACAAATTTCTAGTATCAGGAATGAGAGAGGGGACATCATTACAGAATCTAAAAATATTAAAAGGACAATAAGGGAATATTATATACAACTTTATGCCAATAAATTCAACAACCTAGATGACAGGGACAAATTCGTTGAAAGATACAAACTACCAATACTCAAACAGGAAGAGATGGTTGACTTGAATAGCGTTAAATCTCTTAAAGAAATTGAATTTATTAAGAATCTTTCCTCAAAGAAAATTCCAGGCTCAAATGGCTTCACCGGAGAATTCTACAAAATATTTAAGGGAGAAACACCCCCAATTCCATATGAAGTCTTCCAAGAACTAAAGAGGAGATAGTGCTTATTAGGAAAGCATTACCTTGTTATTAAAACAAGACAAACAAATTACAAGAACACAAACTGCAACCCTACGAGGCGGATAGCATTAATCATTCCATTTTAGAGATGAAGAAACTGAGGACTAAGGAGCTTCAGAAACTTGCCTAAGGTCACAGAACTAATGAATTGGCAGTCAACCTGACTTTAGAACCCAGGCTCTCAACTAAAATGTTTCTCAAAATTAGTTAGACTCCAGATGCTCTTACGAAAGAAAATACTAAGCAGTTCTGCCCAATACTTACCTAGACACAATGCTGGAACCATTATAAAGATCACTAGCATATGACAATGTGGCCAAAGGTCGTACTGAATTATATCGAGTAAACCTGGACAAGCATTCCTGAAATTCATCCAACTGGCTTGCAGTTCGACTATCATCTACATGAAGAAAACAAAATAAAATAGATAATTTAAACTACAAAATAAGTGAAAGAGCAATATCTATAATTTAAAAATTATACTCCAAATTAATAAAAATAATCCTTGAAAAAGCATTTAAGGAAGACTACTAACCACAAATTCATCGATTGATTTTTCAGCTTTAATCAAAAATATCACTTAAAAAAAAGAAAAATATACATATAATTTTTCTTCGAAGGTAATGCAATTACATTGTCTCTTTCCACACCATCCACATCAACAAAAACATTTTAAGCAAAAATTTCTTAGGAGAAAAGAAGAGAGCTACTGGTAAAGAAACGTTAAATCAATTATTAAAACAAAGGCTATGGCAATGGAGAAAGAAGGTAGAGAGAGGAATATCTATACTGAACGGGGTATTTGTTAGTTTGAAGGAACATGCTTATAGGTATACATATTCACTGCCATGTTTACTTACTCTCAAAACATTTTATAATAACATATTTTAAGTTAAAAAAATTCTTGATTAAGTAAAAAGAAAGTGAAATAACTGTTCACATAATCTTTTAAGTGTTTCAAATCCGATTACAGGGAGTAGAAAACTGCAGGGTATGAATGATTCTCAAAACCAAACTTTAAAAACGTTTGAAATTTTTTGCATTTCATTCCACGCCCCGCCCCCCTTCCCAAAGAGTGCCTACATCAGGAAAAAAATTAAGTTTCACTCCAATGGCATGGTGAAAAATAGAAAACAATAATTCCATCCAATATACTGTACAAATAACTTTGGGTAATCCGTGTCAGAAAACTATTCATAGCTATATCGTGGAATTTAACAAAATCAACCCTTATGAAAGACCTAAGAATACAGCTAACTCTATTCTCCAATCTAGAAACAGGTCAACATTGAAAGCATGAATAAAACAAACCAATGTTTTTTAAAGACTGCTTTAAGTTTGGACTTTAATTTTCCTTTCCAAAGAATAAAAAGAACTAATGAAAAGTCTCATTACTTTAGCTTCCTAGATAGGAATTTGATATATTCCTGTTACAACACTGTCTTTTTATAGCTTCTTTCTTATTGTAATATCATACACATACACAATTTTTTCAAGGTAACCTACTGAGATTTCCCTTCTTCAATGTCATCTAAAAGTGGCAGGCATAATGAAATTAAGACATTAAGAATAATTAAGTCAAAAGACTTACTATATGATACATACTAAAGAATTTATTTACTTGGAAATATTAGGTTATCTTGAAAATAATTTCTAACATGAAGAAACTTATCAAATAGTTGATTTGTAAACAAAGAAAAAAACAATTATGTGAAGAAACTAAGTAAGCTTCAGCCCCTAATATTTACATTTTAAAGATTTAAATACTAAGCAAATCCATCTAACAACCTAGATTAAAGGGGTCCAATTTTGTAATGCTTCCATTCTAAAAACAGCAAAAAGGAATAAACCTAATTAGCATGCTGTATCATAATGGTGTTGAGATGAAGCTCTTGCTCCACAAAAATTACTCTCACGATATACAACGAATTATAAATAAAACATGGGTTACTGCAAAAAAACAATCATCAACTGTACTACAAAATGCTGCAGTACGTAACAGTTAATTCTTTTTATATGTAATCCTGTCACTGTGAGCTTATTTAATGTAATATACTTACTGGAAAGACAGTTACTTTAGATATTTATTTAAAAACTATTTTAATGTTAATCTAGTCTCTCACACTTAGACATCAACCGCTAAGTACATAAAATTCACAAGCATCCAAGAATGTGTACTGTGTGTTGAAGACCCACAATCTTTTGCTAGGTACCCAGATTTTAGGTCATTATACAAACTCATTAACATCTACTCTTAACAGAAGCTTCGAAGAAAATAATAAAAAGATTTATTTCGGTATCTGAAAGCTTAGAAATTACTTTTCATTTACAAGGCTATGGAAAGCAGAATTTTGCTTGCTTGATTAGTTTATGATAAACATCCTTACATATTTGCTGACATATGACCTCTCCTATTCTAATTACATTGGTTTATAAATGTGATTTCAGTGTCTCCTCTCTCCTAATGCTTTAAAATTTACCTTCTTTTTCAGTTACAATTAGGAATCCAAGGCATTAACGTCTTAACCTTCCTCTCTCATTTTCATAGTTGAAAATAAAAGTGGGGGTGAGAAAGTATACAAAAGGAGAATCAACGCCTTAGGTGCCTCATTACTTAAAACTTAAATTTCCTCTTTACACTTAAAGGCACAAGGAGGAATTTCCTATTTGGCAATACGTGGTCAATGTGTAAATTTGGTAAGATAAACTTAAGATTCCTAAAGTCTCAGACTTTTAAAAAAATTTTATTGTGATTAAACATATTAACAAAACATCTGCCATTTTAACTATTTTTAAGGGTACAATTCTGTGACATTAACTACATTCACCCTGTTGTGCAACAATACAATTTCCAAATGTTCTTCATCACCCTCAATAGGAACTTGGTATGCCTTAAGTAATAATTCCCCATTTCTCCCTTCCCCCAGCCCCTGGTTACCACTAATGAATTTTTACACCTATACATCTGTCAGTGATAGGTATTTCATATATTTTCATATATGTAGGATCATAAAATATTGGTCCTTTTCTGTCTCACTTATTTCACTCAGTATAATGCTTTCTAGGTTCACCCATCCATGTCATAGCATGTATCAGAACTTCCAATTTTTTAATAGCTGAAGAATATTCCATTTACGGATATACTACATTTTCTTTATCCATTTATCTGTTGACGGACACTGGGTTGCTTCTACTTTTTGCTACTGTGAATAACGCTGGGATGAACACTGGTGTACAAATGTTTTTGACTTTCTGCTTTCAATTCTTTTGAGTATATACGTAGGAATGGAATTGCTGGGTGATATGATAGTCTATTTTTAAATTTCTGAGAAACTACCAAACTGGTTACCACAGCAGCTGTACCATTTTACAATCTCACCAGCAATGGATGAAGCTTCCAATTTTTCCACATCCCCTCCCACACTTATTTTCCATTTTTCTGACAATAGCCACTTTAATGTGTTAGAAGTGGTATCTCATTGTCGTCTGATTTGCAATTTCCTAATGACTAATGACGTTGAGGATCTCTTCACCTGCTTATTGGCCATTTGTATCTCTTCTTTAATGAAATTTCTATTCAAATATTTTGCCCAGTTTTTCATTTCTTTGCTTTTGATGATGAGTTGTAGGTGTTTTTTTAAATGTATTTTCATATTAAACCCTTATCAGAAGATGGTTTTCAAATAATTTCTTCCATTATGTAGATTTTCTCTTTACTTTGTTGATAAAGTCCCTTGATGCACAAGAGTTTTCAATTTTTTTAGAAATCCAATTTATCTAATTTGTCTTTTGTTGTTTGTGCTTTTAGTGTTATATCTAAGAATCCATGTAAAAAACTACCATATTTTTATGCAAATAACACGTACCTTCTACGTTTGTTTGCCAATCGCTCCCTTTCCCTGCGAGGTATTTTCCTAAGCACGTTATGCTAACTTTTTTTAAAGCAACAGGCAAAAAAATTAGCATAGCAGCGCTTATGAAAATATTTCGCAGGGGGAGGGAGCAGTTGGCAGACAAACATAGAGGGCGCGCATTATTTGTGAAAAATACGATACGTCCCGAAGCTTCGTCCCTATGTTGTCTTCTAAGAGGTTTGTGGTTTTAGTTCTTATGTTTAGGTCACTGATCCATTTGGAGTTAATTTTACTGTAATGGTATGAGTTACAGGTTCAATCTCATTCTTTTGCATGTGGAAATCTAGTTGTTCCACAATCATTTATTGAACAGAATACTCTTCCCCATTGGATGGATATGATATCCTTGTTGACAATCAATTGGCCAGTTTATGTCTAGACTCTCAATTTTATTCCATTGGTCTATATACATCCATTATTATAGTACCAGACTGTTCTGATTACTGTAGTTTTATAGTATGTTTTGAAATCGAGACATGTGAGTCATCCTACTTTATTCTTCTTTTTCAAGATTGCTTTGACTATTCAGGGCCCCGTGCGATTCCATATGAATTTGAAGACTGGCATTTCCATTTCTGCAAAGGCTGTTGGAATTCTGATAGGGATTGTTTTGAATCTATAGATTGCTTTGGGTAGTACTGACATACTAACATTATTAAATATTCCACTTAATGAAGATAAGATGTCTTTCCATTTATTTAGGTTGTCTTTAAATTCTTCCAGCAATGTTTTATAGTTTTCAGTGTACAAGTCTTGCATCTCCCTGGTTAAATTTATTCCTAGATATTTTATTCTTTTTTATGCTATTGTAAATGGAATTATTTTAATTTCCTTTTCAGATCGTTCATTGATGATGTATAGGAATACATCAGATTTGTGTCTGTTGATATTGTATCCTGCAATTTTGCTGAATTCACTTATTAGCTCTAACAGCTTTCTTGTGGATTCTTTGGGATTTTCTATACATAGGTTCATGTCATCTGTGAGTAGAAACAGCTTTACTTCGTGCTTCTCAATTTGGATATCTTTTATTTCTTTTCTTAGCTTAACTGTTCAAAGAATAACTTCCAGTAAAATATTAAATAATAGTGGTGAAAGCAGGCATCCTTGTCTTGATCCTGATCTTAGATGGAAAACTTTCAGTCTTTATCCATTGACTATGAGGTTAGCTGCGTGTGGGTTTTTCAGAAATGTCCTTTATCATATTGAGGAATTTCCCTTCTATTCCTAGTTTATTTAGCATTTTTATCATGAAAGGATGGTAGATTTTTGTCAAACGCCTTTTTCACATAAGTTGAGATAATCATGTAGTTCTTTTCCTTTGTTGTATTAATGTGATTGTATTAAATTGACTTGATTTTCTAATGTTGAACCATTCCTGGAATAAATATCACTTAGTCATGGTGTACAAACCTTTTATGATGTGATCTGCTAGTATTCTGCTAAAGATTTCTCCTTCTATATACATAAGGGATAACGGTATGTAGTTTTTTTTTTCCTTGTGCTGGCTTTGTCTGACTTTGGTATCAGGGTAATGTTGGCCTCATTAGAAGTGTTCCCTCCTCTTCAATTTTTTAGAAAAGCTTATGAAGGACTGGTATAAATTCTTCTATAAATGTTTCGTAGAATTCCCCAGTGAAGCCATCTGGTCTAGTATTATTTTTAGTTGGGAGGTTTTGGTTACTGGTTCGATCTCTTCAGTTGTTACGGGTCTGTTGAGATTTTACATTTCTTCTCGAGTCAGTTTTAGGAAGTTTGCGTGTTTCTAGGAATTTGCTGATTTCATCCAGGTTATCTAATTTGATGGCATACGATTGCTTACAGTGTATTCTCTTATAAACCTTTTCATTTCTATATAGTAGTAAAATCCCCATTTTCATTTCTGATTTTAGTTAGTTGCATCTTCTCTTATTTTTTTTCCTTTGTCAGTTTAGCTAAAAGTGTGTTGACTGTACCGATCTCTTCAAAGAACCAACTTCTGGTTTTGTCGATTCCTTTTATTGCTTTTCTATTCTCTAGTTAATTTATCTCTGCTCTGATCTTTGTTAGTTCCTTCCTTTTGAAAGCTTTGGGCTTAGTTTGTACTTGTTTCTCTTGTTTCTTAAATTGCAAATTTATCTTATTATTTTGAGATCTTCTTTTTTAATATAGGCATTTACCACTATAAAATTCCATTTGGGCATTGCCTTCACTGCATCCCATGTTTTGGTACGTTGTACTTTCATTTTCATTTGTCTCTAAGTATTTTCTGATTTCTCTTTTGATTTATTCTTTGACCCACCGATTATTCAACAGTGTGTTGTTTAATTTTCACATATTTGTGTATTTTCCGGTTTTCCTCCTATCACTGATTTCTAGTATTTTCTATGTGGTCAGATAATATACTTCATATGATTTCAATCTTTTAAAATTTATTGAGACTTGTTTTGTGACTTACCAAATTGTATTTCCTAGAAAATGATCCATTTGCACTGGAGAAGAATATGTATCCTGTGCTTGTTGGGAGACAACACGTTTTAAGTACAACACAGCCATGCCCACACACACACAAACATGTGCACACACATAAAAACTACTTCTAACTTTCCTCCTAGCTTTAACTTATTATTCTACCCTCCTATAAAGCTACATCCCCCCAAAATAAACTATTTTCTGATTACCTTTACTATACCACAGGGTGCAGATACTGATAGTTACTTAAACACTACTAATAACAACAGCCTTCCCCAGTCTCTTTACAACTACTTCTTTTTTTAAATGTCTGCCATTTTCCTATAGCTGTATTTCAATATCATAGTGACAAGATATGTAAGGCTTAACAGAAACTCTCTCCCAGTCAGAATGCAGGTCTTAGGCAATTTTCAATCTATCAGCTTCCTAATGCAGTTTATGAGTTCCTCAGTGGTGGAAACAGTTAAACTCTCGACTACTAGATGAAAGGTTGGTGGTTAAAATTCACCCAGAGATGCCTCAGAACACAAGCCTGGCAATCTGCTTCCGAAAGGTTACAGCCCTGAAAACCCTATGGAGCAGTTCTACTCTGCACACATGGGGTCAATCTGAGTCAGAATTGACTCAATGGCAACTAACAACAACAATGTAATTTACAGATTATTAGAGGCTCAAAAAGAGGCTCAATTCTCAGACAATGAAACAAAACTTTTTCATTTGTAAAACTATCGTTAATTTAAAACACATCTATATCAATATTACCTTTCTCCTAGTCTTCATAGAAAAAGTGCCTCGTAAATCTAATACATTTTTTTCCTCCTCAAACAACCCCAAGGCAAGTTTGTCCAAAACATCTAAGCAATACAAAGATTATAACATAAGCATGCCTAGGTTGCTGTAACTCAGAATCGACTTGACGGCAACTAATGACAAAAATATTCAAGAAAAAAAATAAGGTCCAATTTTTAACAACTAACAAAATATCAGGTATTTTTTTCCTTGGTGGTCTTCACTTTGAGCAGATGAACTAATAATAGCATCAATTAATTGAGCATCCAAAATATATCAAGCATTGTGTTTTATATACATCACCAATAAACTTTAAAAAAACCCATAGGGTTGGTGTTGGTTGAGACTGAGAAAGGCTGAAGATCAAAGAGCTAACAAAAAGGACAGAACTAGATTACTTTGCTACAGCAATAAAAATATCCTATACTGTCATGTCCATGTCTTTGCATACATTATATCCTCTTCTGTGAGCATGTTCCTGATTAACTTTTTCAGTTAACTCATAATAGGCTGGGCAAAATACAACTCCTCTGAAATCCCTCCGCTGATCATTCCCTTACATCTCCCCATTTTCAATTTGGACTGGCTTTTTTACTTCCAGTATATTAGTGGATATTCTTCTCCATTCCTGAAATATTCTTTACATATTTACAAAACACATAATATCACATAGAATTATTTATTTGTTGCCTTCCTGCACTAGATTTTACACTCCTTAATAGTAACAACTGCTTCTTTCATCTTTTTATTCTTAGCACAGGCTCGAGTTGCTAGAAATTATTATATGTTGAACAGGAGGCAACATTTTGGTGGCTACATTTTCATGGCTGATTTTTTTTTTTTTTTAATTTTATATACCTCTCCATATAAAGATTAAAAATTCCCAAATAAAGAAAGAGAACAAAAATAACTACGGGAAGGCAATATTCTCCAAGAGTTCCAAGAATTTATATAATACTCTGAACGACTGCATCTAAAATACCCATATTTGCTTTGTGAATAGAACTCTGTCTATAAATACAGAGAAATGGATCTGAAATATGAACCTGGAGTATTTTAAGAGAATGCCTGAACATGTACCTGAGATACGAGACATCCTTGTAGAAAAGTAGCACTGCTCTAAGTCTTCAAAATGAGCAGTGAGTCGTTTTCGTCTTGATGCTAATGTGCTGTTATACCAAGGCTGTTTCTTTGTCTAAGGTGATAACAAGAAAAGACAGGTGCTTTTAAGTTAGAATAAATCATTCTCCTCTGTGCAGAGTATCCAAATGCTTGTGTGTTTTAGTTTCAAAAGTCCATCACATTAAAGTAATAACAAATGTTAAAAAAAAAAAAAACTGTAATTTTTAGATGATATTTTCTGATAAGAACCAAATCTGTTCATTTTTTACGCTAAAAAATGATCAGAAATAAGATCCAAAGGTCAGTTTTACAAAACTAAAATGAGAAACTTCTTTCAGCTCTTAAAATTAAATGAAAATAGTTAGAATTCATTATTAACTGTCATTCTGAAAATCAGAATTTTAAAAATCACAATATCCGGAAATTGTCAGAAAACAACTATCAAATAAAAAACTAATTTTTTAATCACCCCTAAGCAATGCAGTCCTCTGAGGTGTAGACCCTCTGAATTATAGCAACAGTGCTTGACTATAGAAAATATTCAACACTGACACTGTATTTAGGAGCAGCAATTTGTATGTACTAATACTTTGGCACGTTCATTATAAGAACAGAATAAATGAATCATATATATATGTATATATATAGTTAAAGACAACAAACTTCAAATTTATGGGCATATTCCACTGTCATCGAGTCAATTCCAAATTCATGGCAACACTACGTGTTACAGAGTAAAACTGCCCCATAGGGTTTTCCTGGATGTAAACTTTATGGAGCCAGACTGACAGGCCTTTCTTCTGTGGTACCGATGGGTGAGTCTGAACTGCTGACCTTTAGGTTAGTGTGGTGTAATGAATTACTTAATATGACTTTTCTCACCATGGTCTTGTAACTCCTACCCAGGTGATTGGGCGGGGCTGTGCAAATAACGTAATTGTGGCCCACCAAGGGGACTGGTCAGTCTTGCCTTAAAAGAGAGCCAATTCCAGAGCAGAAGGAAGAGCCCACCACCATCAACGAAGGAGAGACCCGCAGGAGACAGCACAGTGGGCTTCCTGGTCCACAGACCGAGAAAGCTGAGTGCCTTTGGACAGAGACTGAGAGCCAGGAGAAGCCTATGCCTGACCCACGAATTTGGGACTTGCCAGCCTCCACAACTGTGTGAACCATTTTCTTTACACAGTTCATGAGTTCTGTGAGACGTTGCGGCGAGTAGGGAACCCAAAGACAGGAGGGAGAGTACTGAGGGCAGAAGGAGTATAGTTGATGTTAGAGATGATAGAGTGGTACAACAGCTTGAAAAAGTTTGACATTTGGGACATCTTTAACCTTCCCCTCATAGGAAATAGCTTTGTGCTGATCCTTATAAAAGAAATTATTCGTTCAGTTGGTGTCAGAATGACGGGTTTTGCGGCAACAGCCCCGACTCACTGGAACAGGTGGTTGTAGAAAAAAGGGGATAAACAGGAGAATGAGAAACCTTTGGTTTCTGGATGGGATAAAAAACACCTGTGGATTGAAGCAGCTGTTACGTTGCAATCAGTTACCCAAGGCAAAAGCTATTCATGGGATTTAGGAAGGGTGGATCTAACTCCTGAGGAATTGGCTAACTGGATGCATATGGAAACACAGAGTGGTAAGAAAAGGGCCAGACATACAGTTCCTTGGTTTCTGATATCCATTAACAGCTGCAATGGCAAGGAAAAAGAATGTAGGGGCTGATTTTAGCACTGAATCAAACCCAGTTCCGGTCCAGTCAGAGCTATGACTGCTAGTCTCAGGGCCGACCTGGAAAGGAAAAATTGGGTCGGAACAACAGGCAGTTCCTGTACAACCGCTGGCCACCAAGGAGGTAGTCCGGGAGGGAAATGGGCAAAATGAAGGAACTATAGAAACCAGGGGGTATAGTGTAAAGGAGTTGCTTCAATTTGTAGATGGGTATCATCAGCTTCTCGAGGAACCGTTACTAAAGTGGATTGTGAGAGTGTCTAATTTAGGGGAAGTGCCCTTAGTTTGGAATGCCGCAGAATGGAAGAGTATGTTTGGGTTGACACAAGGCCCACAACTCACTATGGAATAATCACAAATGATTATACAAGATCCACTCATACAGCAGGTTAACCCAGAGGGGACGGCCAGCCTAATAGACTGGATAAAATCTGCAGTGAGATTTGTTTACCTTGAGAAGGGAAACTGCCCCTCTCCCGCTCTAAATACCCAATGGAACACTCCAGAGGAAGCATCTGATGTGCTGCTTATGCAAGCCATGGAATGGCTTTACATTCATCAAGATTCATCAAATGAGTATGTCCCTTACACAGGTCATGGTAGATATGGCAATCAAAGGAGCCCCTTCTACATGGGAACCCCATGTAACCTTGTTACTGCAAAACAAAGCAACAATCCAAGACGCCTTGTCAGATCTGTTGGCATAGTTTCCCTGCATGGGCCTTACAGAGACAAGAAACGTAAGGATGATTTATAGGAGAATGGGAAGAGCCAGTGGGGAAAGATATTACCCCAGAAGGACAGAGATTTTTAGATGGTTACTAAGAAATGGGATGAATGTAGCAGATGTTGATGGAGTAGAGACAAAGGTTCTAAGGCAGCACTACAGGAGGTTGGGTGGGTCAACAGAAATTCCTGCTAGTCCCCCAATGTTAAAGAGGCCTAAACAAGTCCGTCCCATTCATCCCAGCCAGGAGGTACTTAATGATGGAAATTCCTGTCTGGGACCATATGAAGCAGAGGCTCAGCTAGTTGATCAAGATAAGGATTGACCAGGGGGCCAGGGTCTTCTGGTCCAGCCCCCAGCAGGGGACCCAAGGCCGTATGTACATGTTTGGGTGAAATGGCCCAGGAGTAAGAGATCTTCTTGAGGCTCCTGGACATAGGAGCTCAATGAACTGTAATCCCAAATACTGTCAATAAAATCTTGAAGAGGCCTAAGGTTAGACTAGGGGGATATGAGGATGCAGGAGTTGATGGCACTAACGTGAAAGTCTGGATGAGAACTGGAAGATTTAAGCACATCTTGTATGAAGTAGCTCCATCTCCCTTATTGGAATGTATTATTGGTATGGATACTATGTGTAAGTGGGGAACATTCCTTCTACTTGATATTGTAAAACTGAAGGCATGTAAGTCTGCCCCCAGACCAGTACTGATTGGGCATGCTAAACGGGAACCATTAGAACTGCCTGAACCCACTCAGGTTGTTAATTTGAAATGGTACAGGAGACCCTGGTGGACAAAAGGAGATTACTGCCTTGATTAAAGACATGCTAAAGGCTGGAGTATCGGTGCGAACAAATTTTCTGCAAAACAGTCCCGTATGACCCATGAAAAAGGCAGATGGCTCATGGTGGCTGACAGTAGACTATCGACACCTAAATAAAGTAGTGCCACTTGTGGCTTCAGATGTTCCAGACCTGGTATCAACAGTGGAGAAAATACAGCAGGCTAAAGGAGACTGTTATTCAGTGACTGATCTTGCAAGTGTCTTTTTCTCCATACCAATCTCAGAAAAGAGCCAGCCGCAGTTTGCTTTCACTACATTGCCACAGGGTTACCTGAATGCACCAGGTCACTGTCAGAGTTTGCTTAGAAGAGACTTGGACTTGGTGCGCATCTCAAGTATGGCTATGGGGCATATTCCCTGGGGGTAAAGCCCTACATATGGCTGGCAAGTTGATTATATCAGACCAATGGCACCAGGTGGCTACAATGGGTCCTCACAGGAATAGAAACCTACTCTGGACTGGGCTTTGCATACCCTGTGATAGATGCAAATGCCAAAAATACCATTAAGGGATTGGAACTAAAGATACTGTACCAATTTGGGCCACCGAGTTATATTTCATCAGACCAAGGAACACACTTTACACCCCATAGGTTCAGCAATGGGCCAAGAAACATCATATTAAATGGACATACCATGCTGCATACCACCCTCAGAGTAGCAGTTTGATAGAGAACTGGAATGACCAAGGGAAACATTTTGTTATCGAAAAAGGGGGTGGGGGGGTTAAGGCATGAAGGGCCAGCTCACACGCCTTCATGAGTGTGTGTTCACACTCAACATGAGGACAAAGGGAGGATGCTGGTGCTACTGTACAGTTCTTTCCCACAACACCCAAAACTGCTTTCCTCCTGCTGGATGCTGCAGTTTCAGGACAAGGGATGCAGCTGTGGGTGCCAGAAGCATGGGTGATCCTTAAGCAAGAGACTATAACTATACCCCTGAACATGCATGCCAGAGTTCCCAAGGGCCTGATGGAATGGATTGTACCTTCCCCACATCTGGCAAAACTGAGGCTGATGGTAAATACTGCCATACTCCCTAGCGGGTGAGATAGCCCACTAGTGTTATTCCTATGTAACCCTACCCAACAAGAATGGGAGTGGACTCAGGGGGAAGCACTTGCTAGACTGGTCTTGCTGCCAGCAATCTAGACTAGCATAGCTGCTGAACCTGATGTTCCTTCCCAAGGTGGAAAAGTTTGCATAAAAATAAATGACAAATGGAAGAAAGGAGAAATAAAAGCTGAAGGTAAAGGAATGAATAAATGGGTTATGCAGCGGGGGAAACCTAACATTATGTTGATACCTCGAGGGAGACTCAGAGCAAGGGAATAACTTTCTCTCAGTTGAATTTTGTCAGAGGCCAAAAATGGGGAAGATGAGATGACTTTTGGAGAACCTGACCACATCAGATGGAAACCTGCAGCAGAGCTGAATGGCTGATACCTGAGCAAATTTACCCTTTGGAATCTTTGCCCTATTGAAAGACTAATTGTTAATGACTGTTTTGGACTGGTAAAATGATTGGGAGGGGAGGTTATCCTCCAAATATGAAAGAACCATGGCTAGAAAAGCCAGGGAGTGGCCTGTGGTGTGATGAAATTCTTAGTATGGCCTTTCTCGCCATGGTCTTATAACTCTCACCAAGGTGATTGGGTGGCGCTGTGCAGGTAAGATATTGTGGACCACCAAGGGGACTGGTCAGTTTTGCCCTAAAAGAGAGCCAATTCCAAAGCAGAAGGAAGAGCCCACCACCACCAAGGAAGG